GAAGTCCTTCCCCTAAATACAGCAGTGCAAAATCAGCCCTGAACTGGTGCACAAAGGGAGTGAGGACTCAGCCATGCCACAGCTGGGCTTTCCAAAGCCTTTGTTCCTTGTTTGGCTTAGACCTTTAAAATTGACCCCAAGTCTCCTGATTTCACCACATGTTGCCTCACAGACCCCCTGCATCCTGCATGTGTTGAGTCTTGGTCACATCTTATGTTACAGAGAAACCGAGCCCTGCAGTCATTTCCAGAAATCAGTGCCTCCAAGGAAGGGCTGCACCAAGGTGTTCAGGCACATCTGGGAACCATCACAAGGGTCTCTGTCACTGCGTGGTTCCAGTTTAGACAAGAACATGAGGGCCCCCGAGAGAAACCAAAGCCACACACTGCCTGACCCTACCTCAGCCAAAATATGCCCATAGAAAGACATTAATGGTCAGCAGGAGAATAGCATTCACATCGCAAACAGTCTTCCACGGGTGCTTTTCCTCGATGCTGGTGAGTTTCTGCTCCAGGGCAGCTTTCTCCTCCTGGGACAGGGTGGGCTTGGGGCCGGTGGACAGACCGCAGAACCACAGGTACAGCATTTTCCAGCAGGGAGGCTTGTCTGTTGTGAGAGATGGACCAAAACACTGGGTGTTATCATCTAGCTGGGACTCTTCCCTCCCTCCTTCCACTAGTTTGGAGGTGCATCGACCAATCTGGAGTGGGTTTGAAATGCACCTTGCATGGGAGATGCCAGATGATGACAGGAGATGGGGAAGGGAAGGGTAAAGAGCTCTCTGGCTGAACCATGTACAGCGCAGCCTGATTACACTCTGTTGATTGCAACACCAATCATTCATTAGTTAATTAACAGACCTCTTCCCCCTCCTCCCTGACCCAGCTTCCATCCACTTTCATGAACTCCTGACAGCATGATGGTCCATTTAGAGACACCCTGGCTCATTCATTACACGTGACACGCCGGGTGAAGTACGCGCTTTAATTGTCAGCCCTGCGCCGTGTGTATTTCACTGCCTGTTCTTTCCAAATATAAACTTTTTGTGAGATGCAGAATGTCAGAAGGCCTTGTAAAAGGTGTTACCTGGGAAAAGAAACCTCATTAAACTGTCAGCTGCTGTGTTTCACATTTCCTTTCCCATCAGTACTAATTACCAAAATACCAAGACACTTGTTTATAAGAATCCGAGCTAGTTAAGTGAGCTAGGAATTGATAAGAAATAATAAATAACACTGAATGGCTGCATTCATCTTAAACCCAAACTCACTCTGCTGGGTCAAAAAAAATACTAAGAGATTTCTTTAGTTGTTCGTTTCTGTTTGGACTGGCTGTGATTGGTACCAGTGTCATTTGGGCTGACCAGCAAAAGGAAGGAGTGAAGACATCTTGTGTATATACCTTTCTTCTGATATTTCTGCTCTGTAACCTTGGAAGGTTAAGCTCAAAACCAGAAAGCTGCATTTTTGAATGGATTTGCAGAATAAACCTCTGTCCACTCTGAAAAGAACTTGCCTATGTAGCATCTCCTGCTACCGTTCTGTCTCGTGACACCTCTTTGAGTTCATTTGACTCTTTGCCTTTTTACTAAGTACCCTTGCTAGGACACACAGCTATTTAAGCAATTTGGGTCTGAGTTTTAACCATGGCTTGTATCCTAAAGGAAGATAAAAGATATTATTGGCTTAATGTAAATGAGAAAGCTGGGGCTTGTGGATTTATCCTAGGACATCCACGAAGTGCGCGTCTGCTCCTAGTGTCTCATTGTCCCTTTGGGGCACGATGCTATTTTGATACAGTACATTACAGCAACACTGGGTGAGCTTGGCCCATGGAGCCCACACACGGGTAAGGAGGAGGCATCTCTAGCACATACACAAGGGGGTTGTCTCCTATCAATGATGAGGACAGTAAGAAATGGCACTTTTATGTGCAGAAAGCTGAAATTACAGAGCCTGCCACAACTTTTGTAGTGCTAGTGGTAGCTTTGGTTATGCCTGCAGTAGTGCTGTGAACCTCCTCAAGAGCATGTTGGTGGGACAGACAGATAGATGCAGTACCATGGCACAAAGCTCCAGTGTCAATGGAGCAAGGAGCAGTGTCCCAGCAGCACAGACCTCCACCCTCCCAAGGGGTGTTCATAAGTAAGTGGCCACTGACTTGCATTTAAGAAGTCCAGCACACCATTAAGTGTGAAGGCCTTAAGTGTAACTTGGGCATAACTGGAATGGGGTAGTTTGCATAAGCAAATAATTTATTCTGGAGAGGAGGAAAGAAAAATCATTTTACTGAATGGTTACTTTCTAGGAATGGTAGCTCTTCTGAGCCATTCAGAGGATTGCAACATGGGGGTAAATGCTAGGAGAGACACTGGGAGGACCAAGAACCACAATACTTACATTTGTCACATCCTTATAACTGGCATACCATAAAGCTGTGCCCCAATTCCAGTGAATGTCATGAGCTTTAGAGGGACTTGCATGAGATCTTGGCTGTGCACTCGCAGGTGCATAACTGTGCTTGTTCAGAGTGTTCCTACCTGCCTCCTGCTTATCGCCGGAATCTGTGCTTTCAACCAAGTCTCTCTCTCTGTTTGCTGTGTTGATCTGTGCTCCTCCACTCTTGTAATCCTTCAGGTCGATGGCAGGTGCTTTTCTGTGCCTTGTCCACCACGTCAGGGAAGCGAGCTGCAAAGTGGGACAGAGAACAAACAGGTTATTGCCTGTCACATCCAAACTGGCATGCCTCTTGTCTTCCTTTCTGAGGGTGCAGATCCAAGATGGTGCTGAGAGACCTGTTCTGGGGTGACAGTTATTCTCCCACGTCATCTCACCTCCCGTCTGCACAGGTCCCCACACTCTGGACCAGAAGACTGGTACCACGCAGTTGGAGCTGAAAAGCTGAGAAAAAAATGTGAGTTAATCTAGTTTCCTTCCTTGTATTTTTATAATTAACCTGTTCCATCCCTGTCTTCACCAGGAGTAACCTTTTAGTAGCCAATGAAGAAGCGGTTTCCCATTTGCTAGGGTCACTTGATTGACATGAAATAATGATGATCTGCATCCAGAATGGCAGCTCTCCAACAGGGAAGGGCAAAAAAATCAATTACAAAAAAAGGAAGCAGCAGCCAAAATAACCCTCTCTGGCTACAGTCAATCACAGCCAGCCACTGTACCCTCAGCAGAGAAAGAGCAGTCAGGTGTTAGCATGCAGGTGTATGGCTATAGGAGCATGACGCAGTTATATGGCCATGGGAACACTGGTGTTTGAGCAGCTCCTTCTCTGGGACACGCGGAGGGTCTGGAGGATCTTCTGTTTCAATTGTCGTTTTATAGGAAAGGAAAACCCAATGGGAACACTAAACCCCACAGCTGGGACAAGTGGACTTCCAAATGAGCTTATGTCAGGGCTCTGAGTGGGAAAAGCAGCAGTATTGTGTCTCTGTTCTATGACTGTGTGTATGTGTTCAAGAAGTGCAACTATGGGACAGACAGAGCCATGATGTGGTGAATATCAAGTTACAATTCACATGCAGGATTACACCATACATTAGAGCAAGAGAGATAGTTAAAAGTATTAAAAAATGAGCTCTGGACATACACAGTAAGACTTGGCTGTCCAAAAGCCTTTCCTCTTTTTTTTCTCTATTGAGCCAAGCCAAGACATTACCTCTGTCTGCAGTCTGTCAATGAAGGTGATGGAAGATGATGAGCAGGCTGCTGTGGCTGCAATCTGCTTTACAAAAGCAGGTCTGAAACTCTTCTCCTCCCTGGGATGCGGAGAGTGCACAGGAGGTGTTAATCTTGCAAACCTCACAGTGGTCTTTTTGCAGCTGCAGGATGGAGTTAATCATCCCAGGGGCTCCAGTGTGAATTTAAGCCAGGCCTGCTGCTGCTCTGACTGATTATGGCACACCAGGACATCCTAACCCCTGTGTGCTCTGGCCAAGGATGATGCTCATCGGTCCCATTGGAATGCTGCTACCCAGGGCCATGGACTGTCCCCCAGCTCCAGCCCATCAGAGGAGCCACAGGATGGGACCAGGGCAGCAAAGCTGCAGCGGTGACAACAGGCCAGGTGAAGTCTGACAAGCGGCTGCTTCCCTGCTCTGCCCGTATGGAAATGAACATCTCAAATGGGTCACTTACAAAGTAAAGTGATGTCCCTGACACGTGAGTTTAATTCCTGACTTCTACACACACAGATCTAGGCAGGAGTTTCCAGCTGACACAAAATGTTGCATAATTTCCAGAAGATTTATAGCTTTATTTAAATCATTTTCAACCAAGATGAGCATTGGGCAGGGCTAATCTTTCTTGTCACGATGTGCTAAATTGCTTTGATTTGATGATCCTCATCTTTCTCAGGGATTTTTTTTTCTTTTTAATCACTTAGGAAATGTCACTGGCACACAGCAAAGTTTCAGGCTACTAGAGGATTTCCAGAACTTTCCTTTCTTTTCCCTCTTCTTTCTATGCGTCTCTGAATGACCGACTCTTTATATTGCAGCAAAATCTGCAAGGGCTGATGTTTACCTGCGGCTCAGACTCTGCCAGACAGGAGCAATTCCCAATTGAAAGCAGCATAGACGTACAGGTAACCTCATATGCATTAGCTCATTGACCCAGCCAGGTGCTGGTACTTTGACCATGGCCAGATAAAGCAAACCATCACCCTAGAGGGCTCCTTGGTGAAGCATCACAGCAACACTCAAACTTCAAGCTCCCCATGTGGGTTTTGGGTGGCTGAATTCCCTGAGTGAGTCCCCTTTTCTCCTCTTTGCCATTGCCAGAAGGATGCATGCTGAGGCAGAATGCAGCACTGGGTGGCCATAGAGGCCACCACGGAGATGGGTACAGTTCCCTGGCACAGATCCACAGAGGGACAGGGATAGGAGAAGCAGATGATGGCACTTGTTCTGCATGCCTGGAGAAAGCAAGCAAATACATAAATAAGAACTGCTGACAGGGGAGCTGCGTTGGTATAATTGACTTTGACCTTGAGCAGGAGAACAGGGGGTAGCTGCTTGTCTGGTCCTCTAGAGCCCTGTGTCCCTGCTCCCCACTGCAGAGCTATGTATGGGCACTGCTCGGAGAGCCCTGTGTCCCCCCCACTTTAGTTTGCTCCTCTCTTCGTGCCTGGTTCCCATAGGAGCTGAGTGTGCTTTGCTATTATAGCACTAAATATGATGTGAGACCTTCAGCTGCGGCACCTCAGGGTGCATGGTGTGGGTTCAGGCCAGCCAAAGCAGTGCTGGGCTGTACACCTAAAGGAGTCACTGAAGCCAGAGCTCAAGACACAGGGAAAACATCTCCGATCCCAAAGTACATCGTGTGGAACTGCCAATCCATCAGCCTGTCTGAGTGAGCCCTAACCCCCGGGGATGTCACCTAACTTGTGTAGCACTTGTGTTTTGCAGGCTGCTCCTCTCCCTTTCCCCACCTCCCATTCTCCTTGCACAGGGGAGTTTGCAAGAGCTCAGCAAAGTTTTCCTTTTGTTGTTTGTAAACTAGAATAAATCCTTCTGTTCCAAAATGCCATCTGGCACCTGACAGTTGTGTTTCAGCTTCACAGTCTCAAATCTAATTGTAAGCTCTTTTTCAGGGCTTTCAAGGACGGTGTGACACAATATGGACTACCTACAATGAAGACATATGAACTCGGGAGCATACCAAACAAATTCCTTGCATACTTGTTTTCCAGCAAAGCATCAATCACCACAGGGATGGGAGAGTGTCCAAAACAGCAGGAGAAAATGCTACAGCTTGCAGTTCTTGGATTGTAATTCATTTAAAGCCAGACACATTAGCTGTACCACTAACATCAGATACAAATCTCTGTCCTCCTTTTAAGCGCATCTACTATCTAAAAACATTGAGATTCGATATTTAAAGTTGTCCAGTGTAGATCCTCAGCTGGTGTAAAGTGGCATAACTGTGCTCAACAGCTGCTCCTGGTCTTTGAAGACAATGGAGCTATGCTGATTTACATCTGCTGCAGGAAGATCTATCACTCTATTTGCTTGGCTTTTTCTTTGGTGGCTTGTTTTTCTTTTCCTTTTCCTTGACAAAATAAATGGTGTAATTCCTAGCTTTTATGTGGTGTCTTTCATCATTACACCTCAAAGCACTGCACTGGCAGAACTACTTCCATGCAATCTTTAGAGGGGAAATGTCCAGGGCTCATAAAGTGAATTGACCAGCACATGGGACTGAGAAGCACCAGAGCTTCAGGTATCCTCAACCAGGACACCCAATACCAGCTTTCCCCTCTCAGCCACTATCATGGGTGACAGTGGCTCTTCACCACAGGTTTGCCTGCTTGCATGCCAAACCCCAGCAGCTAGAGGTCACTAATGGCCAAACACAAAGTTCAAGTGCTTGTTTCTACCCAGTGTTAGAGCCTGACACATCCATCCTGGTTTCCCAAAACCTTTGTGTCCTTGAGCCATCTCAGCACAGCCACAGACTAGCTTGAGATGAGGAGACAAGCCCTGCTTGCAGGACACCACGAGAAACCGTGGTCCAAACCTACATCTGCACTCACGTTTAATGCAAAAGTTGGGGTGAGTTTGACTGAGGGGAAAATGAACACTGCTGGTTTTAATGCTGCCCACTCTGACTCGTGCCACGTAGGCAATAACCCAGTAATGTTGGCACCTACCTCAGCTTAAGGCCCACACCTTCACTTTGGCTGTTCTCTGAGGAACAAGGTCAGAACTTTGCTGTTGAAATTGAGGATAAACAGTAGAACCTGAATGGAAATCAGAGTAAAAACAAAGAGGAGCAGGCTTTCCCATGCCACCGAGCTATGGGAAGAGGGAATTGGCTACCACTGTGTGGCACAAATTACCTGTCACCCCGTATCATTGTCTTTGTGGTAAGAAGGTATTGAAGGCAGGGGGGCACATGGAACATGGATGGTCATCACTATCATCCGATGATTAATTTATCTGGGTCTCTGTGTCCAGCCTCTCACTGCCACAGGCAATATCATTAATTCTCATTAAATGTCTTCCGCAGAACCATTAATGCAGAGGTCAAGCACTGAGCTCAGCAGTACGTGGGGTCCATTGCCTACTGAAAGGTTATCCTGAACAGCCCTCTTTAGAAAACTTCCCCAAAAACGCCCAGCCTATGTTTGTTCATGGCAAGCTCTGCCCCTTTAGCAAGCTCTCCTCCCTCCCTGGATCTCTAGATGTACCTGGTAGGGCAGTCACCACCTCCACCAACTCACACTTTGCTTCTCTGGGATAACTGCACACAGTTTTAGACAAAATCCTATCCTCCCTGACCATTCCATTGGCTTTCCTTCCTGGACCGCTTCCAGTCCAAATCCACCTTTTCTGAGCACTGGCTTTATGAAGACTATGTCAAATAATGTCCCTTAAGCCCCACACCTATAAACTCACCTATCGCTACTGAAAATCTCCTCCAAGGAATCTCTTATGCTCATAACCTCTCTTTCCCTGATGCTATTACAGTACCTCTTCATCAGAACTCTCCCTTTTAAAATATGACTTAGATGTTCTACCTCCAAGGTCAGACTACAAAGTGTGTAGGTGCTGTGGCCAACTTCTTCATTTCTTAAGCTGCTGGTGTGATGTTCGCTATTTGCCAGTGCTGTGTTAATGCATCTTATCTTGCTATTGCTGTGGGCAGGGAGCACTGCACATGTTTAGTTATCACAGGTCAGATGATGAGTGGGAACTCATTAAACCACAGTAATTAATTGCTGGCAACCATCTGGCCACCCCTGAGCAGTAGTGAACAACGTAAGCAGCAGAACTAATGGTGCCTCCTTGTCAGTATTTCTCTCTCCCATGTGGATCCTCTGATAGCTAATAAAAGCTGATACTTTATCTCAAAGCAGACACAAAGACAGTCTCCCTCTCCCTCCTTCTTCTCTATCTGAGCACCTGCTTTCATGTAATCTTTAGGAGCTGGGTAACATTCAATCAAACATTGATGTAACTGGTTAATGCTTTACAAGTTATGAGGAAGCAACAGATAGAAAATGCTCTGATGGCATCACCTGCGTTTCCTCATGCAGTTAGACAGGAAAAAAATAGGTCTTTTAAACCTTTCCAGTAACCTTTGTTTGGAGGTAGATGGCAGGATTTGTTATATTGACAGCTGCTTTAAAACTTGGGACTGGGAATAGCTGCTCTAAGGTCTTATTATATAAAGCCTCCCAACTCTGCACCACTTTAATGTGTTAAGTAAAAGAAAGTTGTGCCTGACTCAAAGTTATTAAATGTAATTGAGATCATATTGGGACAAAATGTTGTTTTCCTAAATGCCCATGTTGCAGAAGATATTAATCTTGTTTGCCTGCAAGATTGATGCTGGCTCTGCTGAAACTGGGTAGATGCTACAATTAGATATATTTAATTCCTCCTCAGCAGTGCTCTGTAATGCGATTTCATCTCCTTCCCCTTCTCCTTTCCTTTCTCTTCCAGCTATGATGGGCTGTGGTGTCTGCCCAGCTCTAGGCACAGCATGGGAACTCACACTCAATTTGGAGCACACAGTGCCTCAGGAAGCATTAACACTATGCAACCTGGGGAATAGAAAGCTGAGGAGCCAGGGCTTCTTCACAGCATATGCATTACACACCATTTCTTAACCATGGGAGGAAAAGGAAAGGACAGATTTCAGACATCTTTTGGAAACCAAACGGGGGCTCTGAGGAAAGGTGCCACTGCACATCACTCACCTTTTCCTCAGGGATCGGTGGGGTGCAGAGACTGATAAGGACAATGACAATCGCAGTGAGGACACAGAGGACGAAAGCAAAGTAGAGGTAGTGCATGTCCTTTAACACAGCTGGCCTTCTGTCCTCCTCACCACAGGACGGTGCGCTATAAATAAACTCCATGATCATCCGAACAAGACCAACAGCTAGCCCAAACATGAGGCCCCAGAAAGCACCCTGAGAAAAGGCAAGCATAAAGGAAAGGTCACTGCATGTTACCTTTGGTTGAAATTATCCTCCCCTTTCCTTCCCTTTCCCTTCCTTTCCTCTCTCTTCCCTTTCCCAAGACCTTTTATGCCTGATGGAAACCCACACTGACATGCATCAAAGGAGGGTATCTTCAGTTTAAAAATCCTTATTTTCTCTTTCTGCCCTTGAACATGGAACAGATAGAGCACACACAATGCAAGAGTCTCCTCCTAACAACATGCCCCCAGCTAGAATGACACATCATCCCCAAAGTGCAGAACATCTTTGCCTTCCATGCCTTCAAATAAGACTGCCAAGAAGTACCACTTGCAGTGGCTGCTTGGAAGCAAACAAACACATACAACACTAGAGACTGGGCTAACGTCCACTAATGCATGCCAGGGAAAGTCTAATTGTCACACATTAGCTGGACTGACTTTGAGTTTGGAGTCTCAGACACTGAGGGGAGAGTTATTTCTTTTATCACATCAAACTAAATATGTATATTAATTGGTTGTTGACACTCTACTTACAGGCTCATTAATCCTCTTGCAGAAGATTGCCAGGATGAAGAGAGCTGTGATCGGTGGGGCCAGATAGCTGGTTATGGACTGAATGTAGTCGAAGAGCTGGCCGCTGTTGGCCGATTGAATGATGGGGATCCAGAGAATACTGATGGCTATAAGGATGAGGATAATGACTCTGGAAGATGAGGATAAAACTGTATTAGCTCTGCAGGTGTTGGAGCACACTTGAAAATGAGTTTTTCAGGAAAATTTCCAATTGCTCTCAGAATTTCCTGAGAAAACTCCGCATAAGACTCCCAAGAAGAACCTTTCCCTGTGCAGAGAGAGTGTTCCCTTCTAGAAAGTCAGTTCAACCAATTCCCAAAGTGAACTTCACAGATTTCAGAGTGAGCTGAGCTAGGGCTTGCCAGTCAACATGCATGAGAGATCCACAGGGCATGGTGGCTCCCACCGTGGGCTGGATCAGTGCAAGCCTTTCAGCCTGGTATGTCCTAGAGAGTGACATGTTCTTCGAAGGACTAGCTCTTTGATGTAACAGATAGAGGGAGCTGAAAGCTTGTGGAAGCATGGAAGCAGTCCTTCTGCTACCTTTCCAAGCAGATAGGATGCTCAGTCTAGCGCCATTGCCAAATTCTAACTCATTTACTGCTTATTAGAATTGCTTCTGTGGTCTCAGGTGCATACTGTAACCCTCCTTCATCTTTGCCCTGTATGTTACAGAGGTTTCTCCGTATTGCTGAACAAGAAGGAGGTTCTTCCCCTCTCACTACTGTATGGTGGTGGAGTATGAGACTGCCTGCACCCCTCAGCCACCCCACAGCAAAGTTTAGAACTTAATGCTCATGACTGGAGAGCAAAAGCACCACAAACGTTCAGAAAACAGCTTAAATTCTGCTATCAGGAGGAGAATTTATATGCCCCTGATATAATGCAGCACCAAAGCTTGCTCGCAAAGGGCACTATAACTTACCACAGCGACAGAGAGCTGGGAGGCCCAGCTCTGCACTTTTCCCTGAAAAAGAAAGGAGTAATTGCAATGCATCACTCCTGTCTGATGCAAAAATAACATGTTCTTAAAGACCTCTGGTGCCAGTGGCTCCGGAGCTCCTTTGGCTTCTCTAAAAGTTGCATTGCACTCAGTATTTATGTTAAGTTTAGAGAAGAGAGAGGCAATGATCTACATAGCTCAGTGGTACACTCAGTGTTTCTCTTTGACCAGGTCTGTCCGAGATGAAGCTGGAAAACGTAATGCTCTTTCCCAGGCTGTGTTTCCACTCTATATTTTAGGCACCAGATTTTCCTCAGTGAGCCCAGACTGGAGAATGTAAATGCTGCCCTCGAAACACATGATGAGAGCAATGAGACATAAAGAAACGTAAGGACCTGCCCACAATCATCAGCTCCTGCTCTGAAGCCTTTCTGCGGATCCGCTGCCAGATGTCTATAACGAAGAGAGTGCTGCTGCTGTTGAAAATGGACGTGAGGGAGCTCATCAAGGCTGCCATCATCACAGCAATCATCAAACCCCGGAGCCCTGGGGGAGCAAAAAAGGGAAGGGAAAACCAGGATTAGACCTTCGGCCTCTCAGCGCTGTCTTTTCATCCTTATGTCTGGCAGCTGCATC